CAAGCACTCACCCCAGGTAAACAATTCTCCAAACACATTCCACATGGGAAAACAAGGAGCAGAAACAGAAATTGTTTTCTCTTTCTTCCCTCTGTGCTTCTCTATAAAAAACCCTGTGGGGAAAAAAAAAAAAAGAAATGTGCTGCCACAGCTCTGGGTGTGCTGCAGGACCCAGGCTCCTGGGGCCACCACTCCAAATTAAAGGGACCCCCGGGGGTGGCTGCTGGTCCACATTCCCCTTTCCTTCGGTTGTTCGTGCATCAGCACCAGAGGGTTTGGTCATTACCCAGCATTGTCTCACCAGGCAGCCCGGCAGGAGGAAAAGTGGTGAAGAATGTCCTCAGGGAGAGAAATCCATAATGTAGATATTAACAAAAGGCATGTCTCTTCGGAGTGCTCAGACTCATTTTTCAGACTTAAAAATGAAGATGATGGGTCTAAACCTTTTATTTCAGTGCTAAATTGTCTTTTTGGCTGCCTAAAGTGCTCTTTGCAGTATTCAAGGGCCAAGGTATGCACCAGAGGTGACACTGATCAACTCTCAGGTGCTTTTTTCCCGCATTGCATGCAAACCCAGCTCCTCAAGCACCTCTGCATTTCATAGGAACAGACCCTTTCTGTTTGTTGTTTTCTTGCTGTTGATCTTGTCATTGTGTTTCTGTTCCTCTGCTCGGTCCCAATTACCAGGATGTGGTTTTGAGTTTTACAAACAGCCACACACTAAAACATTTAGCAGTGATCCTCTGTCCATCTGATTTCGGTCATTTTGTGCATTACTCCCATCTCCATCTCCCAGTGTCTCTCAGGGTAATTAGAAGCCATGTATTTCCCTGATCCCGTGTTTAGCCACAGATCATCATCATTTGATTCCAAAACTTCTTGGGGATTACCTTTGTTAAGGTTATTTGCTGCCATGGGAATCAAACTCCTCTGCAATGATTTTAAACGGTGAAGCTGAACCATTTGTGTGTTGTGTGAATTCAGGCTTGGCCCATTTTGCCATTATTCATTCCTTTAATTTTTTGCTGGAGCTGCTGGAAGCTGCGATGCCGTCAGCAGAGGCTTGCTCAGCTCCTTCCTTTCACAGCAGGGAGGAGATAGCAGGAGAAACAACCCAC